ATTTACTCGCTTCTGTGCAGTTTTCATTTACTCTGACGAGACATTTGACGGCTACTGGTAGTAGTTATTCTTAAATCTTCTGATTGAGAAATGACTCTGGCAGAAATTTGCTGTAAAAAGAAAGAAATGACGCTCATCATCGTGCTATTCAATTGGTTGAAGAGGCAAAATAATCGAAAAAATTAAAAATGAATAATCAAATTAAATATAATAAATTAAACAAAGATCGTGGAACTCTGCCGAGACTTCTGCCAAAGTTAATACTTCTATACGTTTCTTGAATAGGACTCGTTGAATACGTTTTATTTCACGGTATCCAAACGAATACTCTTTTACGCTTGTTTTACGCAGGGTTAGTCCATTGTAATTGTTTGTTATGTTCAAACGGCCAAGAATTTCCTGGGAGCCGATGGTTCCTTTCTGATATTATACGCTAGTGGCCAATCATGATTTAGTAGTGAATGTTCATTTCCGGTTATGTGCGTGAGTATGTAATCAGCTTCTAGAAACATGAACTTTTCTTGCTGGGTCATGGAGATGTGTGGCACCATTTCTAAGGTAACGCAGGAAACAATTGGCACACAGTAATTGACTATATCAGCCAAGTTATTTAGGTGAGTTATGATATCTCCCTTGGGTACATTAGGGTATGACTACTCTTAGATATCTTCTGTATGCTACAAAGTGGTCTGTTTCTAATAGTATAGTTTGGTATAGTCTGAAAATGAACCGCTGAGAGGATTATATTGAAACTGCGCTTAAACAATTTCTTTTTAGGTGTGGCAACTTTCGTTGATGAAGGGCAGATCGTTTGCTCCGTTTATGGCGCTGTGGGCGTCAATATCTGGCGAACGAATGACTTCGCTCCTCCGGACATTGGTGATATTGTTCGGTTCAAGGTGATCGATATCCGAGTGCATCGAAAAGTGTTGCAGTTGATCGGAAACTTTGTCTCATCTCGGTAAGTTTGCAGAAAGTAACTTTCAGTGATATGTCTGAAGGAACCGGTCGTTGAGGGCAGCTGGATATCAGGGGCAACAAAATTTATCAGAAGGCACAGAACTTGAGTAAGGCCATTTCGAGATCTAATTTCAACGCACTTTGCAGTCCTTATCAATTAGCTTCCTTTACTCACGCAGATACCGTGTTTCTTATTATTAGTTAAGGTGTTATTCGTTTGCTTTACGAGGTTTTTTTATTTTGCACTTTTCGAATATATCGCACTGTTTCTCTTGATTATTACGGTAACATTCCACCGAAGCACCTTTAATATGTGCTTTTTTGTACAAAGTTGATGTTCACTCAACTTTGATAACTTTTGACCTCGTTCTTCATCATCACTTCGCCTAAGTGGGAACGTCAGTTGCAGTCAATGAATGACATTTGGGACAAGAGACAAGCAGTTAAAAGTGAAGATCATGAGGAATGAAGCTTTTTATCAGTCCGATCATGCTGGTTTGAGTCATCGTTTTATGTTAAGGAACTGACGGGCCCAGTCAAACTCGTTGTAGGCGACATTCCCGCCGTTTTTAGTTTTGACTTGTTTCTTGTATACATTTTTGTTGGTATTATCATTAATCAGTCATTTAATTTTATTTTTTATAAATACTGGTCACTGATATGGGAAAATATTGTCACTTCTGACGTTTATTGGTTTATATTTCGAAAGTATGGCTAGATCGAGTCAAATCTTTATTGTTTTGATATCCAGGTCATTTAGTTTTAGCCTGTTTTCCAGTAAGATCATGAGTCCTCTGTCGTTGTGTATTGTTTGGGCCTACTTCTTATCACTGTCTCATCTGAAACTGCGCCTAAACACTGTGGAGTCTCAACACTTTCCTCACAGTTTCCTTCAATATATAATCGCTCGCTCGAGAAATGTTGTTAACTACTAAGTGCATCTGTACTTCTTCAGCAAACGACTGACTGTAGTTACTACCGACTTTGAGATTCTGGTAAAGACGACGCCTCCGTATTCTGTTTCTTGACACGAAGGGAATGTAGTTTTCTACTACCGGTGATCAATAAAACATTCATTTTTGCCATCGATATTTTCCAGAGTTTTACCATTTACCATTCTACGCTGAACAGTTTTTTTCAATAATAAATTTTAATTTTATGTTCACTGTTTGTATCGATTTTTAGTCAGCTCTTGGGTAGATTAAGGCGAATTGCAGCCGGAAGAGGCAAGCATCACTCAGGATGATTACATATCTTTTATGCTTTGGCATTACCGCACTAACACCGTGCTGCTACTAATTTTTTGCAAATAAAAGGCCTCCTACCGACTGGTTGCACTGAAGTGCAGTGGGGTGAATTCTTTGCTTAAAATTAATTAGTGGATAATAAAAGAAAATACACAGTATGCGTGTTGTTTGTACCCAGAACCTCTCAGCTGAAAATCTAATTACTAACCCTTTGCACCGCTACGGCTTCCCTCCAAATATTGTTATACATCGAAAAATGAACATTGTTTCAGTTGCGTCCATAGTTTTAAATAAAGGTTTTTGTGGGCTCTTTATGTTTAATATGCGTGTTAGCCTGTCATTTCTTGCTGTATATTCAATATGATTTTGAAAAGTAGTGTATGGTAATTCATTTATTATAGGAAATGGTCTGATTCAGATGACGACAATGCGTCGTACACCGCTTCGTTTGATTTCCTCGGCGTTGATGTGTCGCAACCTGTAAGCAAGGTAAAAGGCGTGAAGAGAAGAAAAAATACGAAAAATTGAACACTTGGGTGTCGTGTCAATTTTAACCCCTTAAGAGAAATGAGTTAACAAAATTCATATCTGGCAAGAGTCACTTGATCGTGCTGATAAGGAGTTAGTCTTTATACTGAGTGTTGTTCCTTGTTTGCGGATGACGATCTTGTTGAAGTCTGTTATGAACTTTTTTTTGATTGATGACGAATAAACCTTCATATAGTTTGACCAGATCCCGAATAAAATATCTTGCTTTTGATATCTTAAACATAACAACGATAAAATAATCTGATTCTTTGATCGGCCGTTTTGATTGTTGACAGAGGTTACTTTTACGTAATATCGATTCATATATTTGGCTTACACGGATTTCAAAATCTGTTTTACCTAAGCCAAGGTGTTCTACTTGCGTTCTTTTCTCTCAAGCCTCTGGTCATGCATTCATCCATAAGCCTTTCATTCCAGAGCATGTCATCGCAGCCTGCGTTGATATTCTTGATTCTGTTTAAAGATTTTCAGTCGCCAAATGTTGCTTTTACCATTTCCTGTTTCCCTAATCAATTCCTTTAAGGAGCGTCGCATTGAAATTTCGTATTGAGTACTGATCTCTCCTGAACAACAGATGTCCTATTTGACAGAAGGGACACTATTTCTACAGGTAACACACCTGACACTGTTTTAGGTTCAGTGGTGGCCCGTGGCACTAATGGTATCTAGCCTTTAAGTGAATAAAAATAATACCATAAAATCGTTAATGTTAAGTGGTTGATTGCATGATAGTTGGTTATGGTGCAGTTAAACATACACTGTTACAGCGACATCTATCGTATAGTCGGCAATCACGATAAACCAGGATTGTTCACTACTGATTAGTTCATCGCTTTCATTTTCCAGCTGTGATATGCCTTACGATCCTTTACTGTAGTGGTTTGATAGTGGCCAGTGCTTATATTTGATTCAGTGAAGCTAATTCGGCATATTACTAGTGTTTTCCTGTAATGGGAATCGGATCCTTAACGATAAAAGAAAGCGGTCTAATCATTTGACCCATATACCAGTCAAAGTTATGCAAAAGTGAGCCTGTCTGTTTTTGCAATTCAACAGAGCACAGGTGTAGGGGACGCATACCGACCCGTGATAGTGTCTTTGCTAAGTGCCGAACAAAGTTTTATTACGATATCCTTCACAGAAGGCACCGCAGGTTTGATCGAAAAGCTTTCCAGCCACGTGTTTTTGTTGTTATGGTATGGTTAAACTAGTAGTTAAATGTGTGGTCGGTGTATCATGGCTGCGTGCTCAGAAGTCGTTGCTTTTGAATGATCCGCTGAGTCCGTAGAAACAACGTAGCTTGCGTCATTTTCTGTTCAACCGTAACTTCAATCTATTGCTTTTTTGTCTTAATTTTTTATAATAAAAGGAGTTGAAAATTACTCTTTTACCCATTATGACACATTATTATAAAATACACGTCAGCAGACGTGGCTCGGTTTCATTAGGTGCGCGTAGCCGACTCTGGCAGAACTAAAAACTTTATTAGAAAATCCAGAGATCAAACGCAAATGCACTTGGAATGTGCGACGAAAACAACAAAAAAGTAGTTCAAATGACAGTAAACCCGTAGAAAGCAAAATAGAAACAAAACGTCAAAACATGACGGGTAGAGAAACGCAAAATATTCACTTCGTTGACAATAACAGTACGCCGAAAAACAGGAAGCAAGAAGCTAACGTAATTATTATTTTGCCACAGCGGTACTTTCGAAGTTGGATCTCTGAGCTCAAGATTTCCAGCAACGCGATGTACATCAATGTTCCCGCTGCAAACCCCTTAAGGATCATTAGGAAAACGACAAAAAATGCATCAATGCTAGGATCTTTCTGACTAATGAACCCGATCACCATACCCAACGGAACTGAAAGACCGAAAAGAACGGTAAACAAAAATCCCGAAAACGGCTTTAGATGATAATCGGCTAAACGGAGTCCAAACGCAAGAGCGCATAGCACTTCGCGACACATAACGCCGACAAACAGGTGTTTCAAGGTGTCAACCGATTCCTGAATACCGACAGCCACACCGTCGACAAGCGCCTGAGTTTCCAAACAAAGCAGCAAAAGAATTAGACTAACAGACATTTCCAAAGAAGTTGTTTCATTGCTACCTTTGGCATTACACGCATCACATCTAAACACAAATCGAAATCACCTGAAGATCACGATGGCACCGTCGCTGCTCATTTAATTCTTACCCATGATAAACGCTGGAGTCATCTGACAAAAAATCTTCATGTAATCTGTGTTTTCCGCCTTCACTGGCTTCGGTAGAAATGAGTGGTCGGGCTTCGCTGCTGCTCGTACGAGTCTTACGTTTACTGGTGAGAGAGCGCTTTGACTTCGACCGATGACACCGCCACGATTCAAAAGCGCAAGCAGACTTTACGACTAGCATCGCCAGGAAAAACCCACTCAATATTAATGCCTCAGGCCATGGCCCTCTTTTCCAGATCGTAGTTGTCATCGCGGTCGTTGTAACTGTGATCGACGCTGTGGAAGGATCTTGATGGAAAAGAAGTGGTCCTTTGGCAGCCGTGGTTCTCATCGCTGCAGGGCTTATTTCCTCGTTCGACAACTGGTGTCGAACAGCCGGCATCAGACTGAGGAAGCAGGTACCGATGAAGGTGCCAGCCGAGAAACATCGACCAAAACTGAGACCCGACGAAGAGTTTGGGCCGGGTTTCTCAGGGCAGTGGTCATTACTGAACTTACGATGCATGCTAGGACGACGGCGACTGTTTCGGCAACAATGCATCAAACAGAACAGCAGAAAGGCCGGGAAAACGACTCCCACAAAGGACGTAAAAGCAAAACTCATCTTACATAGGAAAAGATCCATTTTAGCTAGTGTTTATTAAGTTCTTA